AATGTTATTTCTACGAAACGAGCGTCGGTGAAGTGAGCCGAACCGTAAAAATTAAGGCATTACGGCATTTCTAATTATGATAGATGTATATTTGAGTGCAATTATACTGCTATAATATAGTATTTCCGTATTGCAATGCAGAAATGCGGCAGTGCAGAATTTCATAAATTAATTTTGCCGTCAACTATATATTAATCAATCAACAGTAAGTACATGGCTGTGCCATTGAGCGAAAGAAATTAGTCTCTAATTGATCTTTTATTTCTCATGCACAAGATCCCTTTAAAAAGTCATAAAAGTTTATCAAGTTTTGACGAAGAGTGATTCAAATTTTATTAGTGTTTATTGGAAATATAGATTTTAGAATATTTCAATGATCTTACTCAGATATTACTCAGATATTGATGTTACTTATATCAGGTGCAATAACTAAATTGAGTTGATCATTAGTTATTATTAGAAGAAATAGTAAACGTATTTTCGAAGACGCGATCTACGCGTACACATTTCAAAATCGAGTGTAACGCAAAGAGGTCGATAAAATTAATTATCTAAAAAAAAAAAGAATGTGACTAATGTTGAAGCTTTGAAAAAAAACACCGACATCCGATACTCTAATAAATTTACACTAAAATCGTTTTTATTATATAGAACACCTATATTTAGAATTTAAATTTTTATGTTGACAAAGTTAACTGATCTGAAAGGCGTATTATTAATCAGGCTTGTGCATTCCTTAGTCGGGGCATACTTTATTACTTTATCTAAGATTTGCATTCCATAAAAATGTATTAACATAGTTGACAATTTTTTCTTATCGATCGCTAGTCACTATAATGTAAATATGTCAGTGCTTAACGGATCCGGATGCCATTCATGTAAAATATGACGTAATTATGCCGGTGGTCTACAGTAACTGCCGTACGCCACTGACTATAGTACTCCGGGTACTATTCAATCAGCCATCAAGTTTCTTGAATAGTACCCACCCGGGTACTAATCACGGGGGAGGGTACTATAGTAGGGGGGTACTTTACATTGTTTTAATAAGAACTTCAAATATAAATATATCTACGTATCTCCGGGTTTTATTCAATTTTTGAAATTTGAACCCATGAATAGCACGGGTCTTTTTTATGGGGTATTATGTCAGGGGATAGTCAGTGGCGTACGGTAAATAATAAATAGTCTCTACGACAAATGACGACAGTAGTACATACTCCCACGTGCTATTGTTATGTATATACGTACAGTACGTACGCACTATCTCGAGATCTACTTACAAGTTCAGTGTAAAGACTTAATCAATTTCAAATCACTTTATTTACAAATCGTTTTACTTTTTTACTTCAATAGTTTAGGTCCGTATAAATAAATGCAATATAAATTAAATAAATAATATAATAATTAAATATGTATGTTTTAAGGATTGTGAATTTATTAACAGGAAAAAAAAAAAAAAGAAAAGGACTTAAAATAATAATCAATTTCCACTCAAAATTTCTGTCGACAAAGCATCTAATGCATCCCAAGTACCGATGATAGCACCAGATAGAGCAAAAATTAAAATAAAAATAACCCAAATTTTTTCTTTAAAATTTTTTAAATGATTCCAACCAAATAATTTTATCCAAATTAACATTGGCATAACCATTAATAAAATACCATTACCTAAAGCGCCCAAAAGTGACATAATAGTAGTAAAATATGGTACAACTGTTGCAATATATACGGTGAAAATTACAATAATTAAACGAAGTATTGTACGTAAAATAAATTTACTAGTATTACTAATATTTGAAATGGTTGTAAAAAGATAATTTTCTAATTCCAAAGAAAAAGCAGTTTGATAAACAGGGAGTGCAAAAAGAATATGCATTGTGATCATTATCATGGTAATATCAACTATTAAACCAGGTGGAAGGCTTAGATATATAGGTGACATTGTGGTTCGACCATAGGTTAAGTAAGCAGGTATACCGATTAAAAGGTACATAAAAGTAATAGTAAATTTCGCAAGTGTAACCACTTTAGGCCATGCTTTTTTATTTTTCATACTATAAAAGTATTTACGTGTGTTAAAGAGAAATAAGTTTTTAAAGAGCATCAATATTTATTTAAAAAATTAATTGAATTCTTACCTGGCTTGAATATGTGGATAAACGACATTACCTCCAAAACTGAAAAAGAAAGTTGATAGAGCGATAGGAAGGTTTCGAAAATTGACAAAATCATGACGATTTTTTAAGTTTTTCGGATATTCAATGATGGATATTATGAACACGGTCAATACGACAAACAACGTCGTCACTACTCCAAATATACTATGATTTCAAAGAGATAATACATGAATATATGATTAAATAAATAGAATAAATATGAAAACGAAAAGAATATAAATACAGAAATAAAAGAATAAGGGTTTTATAATTTATCGCCGTAGCGATGTATCGCTAGTCCAATAGTCCTATGTGCGGAGTTTCAAATTGTGGTT